AAAAAACTGAACTTCGAAATATTTACGGTTATGCCACTGAGCTTCCGTAGATCATAACTTTTTCGTTACAACTCTGATTTGAGCCCACTACATGTCTACAGACTCATCTCAACGTGCTCTATGCAACGGTCCAATTTAAGTTTCCAAATTCTTTCCCAAACTTAAAATTAAATTTTTGCCCCTTTTATATTAAATAATATTTTAATCTTCCAAAACTTTAATTAATTCAAATCATTTTATTTTATTGTTTATTTCAATTTACTTTCTCATTTAAATTTATTTCCTCTTATTTTAAATATTTTATTACTCCTTCAGACCGGGATGTTACAATTTCGTCAAAATTTTCCCCAAACAAAAGTCAACTCTTAAATCATTTAAATATTCCCAGGGTAAAATTGTCATTTTCTTGAACAATTTAATATTTAACTAAAATTTTAGGACCGGGTTGTTACAATGAAAGTTCTTCTGAACGTTATTAAAATGACACCTACCGTCGTCTCACAAAATACACACAATGATATTGGTGTTACAAGCGCAGTGTAGCATAGTAACCACGTCTATATTTATACTGTCGACGTCGTTTTGAATGACCATTACGTAATATTTAAGGTCGTCGTTACTCTATGTTATGGTAGGACATGGATAAATTGTACATGTTATCTCCTTTAGACGACACAACGTTCCAAAAAGTGTCGTCTAAGCTTATCCAAGTTGCCTTTTTTGCTGTTTTTTATATTAATTAGATGTCGGTTGTGAAACAATAGCATCGTCGTATATAGTAATAACTACGTTCTTTCCATATTTACAACCGTTACTACTTCATTTGCACGTCGGTATGGACTAGAAGCATCGTGGAATATTTATTAATCACGACTGTTTATTTTAATGTACCGTCATGGAAGGTATTCTGAACAACGGTAAGTTAATCTTTTGGGTTGTGGTTACTCTGTGTTACGTCGAGACGTGGGTAAGTTGTGACATGTTATCTCCTTTAGACGACGCAAGGTTTCTAAAGCCGTCTTCTAAGCTTGTCGAAGTTGGCCTTTTTTGATGTTTTTATATTAATTAAAAATCTGTTCTTATTTAGAGATGATTTAGTATGTTGTAACAACGTCGTTAATTTACCGTCATGGTTTTATGCAGCAAAAGATGACGGTCGATTTCATGAGGGTTTAAAAACTGTCTACAAGACAGTGGATTCCCGTCGTCTATTGCGATTTTTGTGGTAGTGTAATGATAATTATATGCCCGTAAATGAGCTTATTCATCCCAAAAAAAAACATCGTAGAGGTATTACAAACCCAAAAAAATTGAAAACAACAACATGATTTTAGGGGAGCTAAGCCGAACTTCATCGGTCAAATTGCCAATTAATCGTCAAGTGATCATCTTTTCTTTAAACCATACTTTTTGCGTTCATAGAATAGATCGGTTTTGGCACTTCCCAAATTCACAATTTTGGGACACCCATCTATATCTTTCTCCAGCTGAGTACACTCTTTGCAGTAGTAAGCGTCAGAAATTCCAACCCCCCCACACACTACACACCGGCCCTGGAACAATCCGTAGTTGCACTCATCACACACACGAACAAACGTGCAAGGGCGCACCAAAGAATCGCAGAATACACACTTGCCGTCATACTTTTCACACAACATAGAACTCAGTCTCTCAATTTCTTCCCTTCTCAACTATCATATACACCTCGTCATAAAAACCACCATAAAAAAAACACATTTTGCACATCAAATTAATGCAAGGACCAGCTGAATAAAGTGCCAAAGCTTCAAAAGGTGCTCTCGGGCTTTGAGCTAGTCAAGTAAGCGTGAATGGTTGACCTGCTAAACGTGGACAATTACAGGTGGCCCAGGGCAATACACCAAGACGCAATATAGCAAAAGTCAACAGGCACAATTTTACCTCTAACTTTTGGTTTTTATATTCTCTTTTCACATGCCGACATGCGACTTGATCTTTTGTTTTTTTTTTTGGGTCAACCATGCGGCTTCGTTAGATAGCCGCCAAGAACATGAACTCTTTTTCATGCACCCAAAACTGCCTTGACGGACTGGTTACAAACAATAACTTTGATACATATATATAACTTATAAGCATGAAATTCAACGCAGTGATATTATATGATTAATTCTTCCTTATTTTTTTGGAAGAAGACAGTGGCATAAGTACAAACTTTGAAAATGCCAAATTACTGTTCTCATCATTTCCTGAAAACAAATCAAAATCCATCTCTACTTACTCCCATGCCTCTCTCCTCTTTCTCTTTAATTCCCTTCCAGTAGCCCACCAACCCATTGTATTCTCGAATCTTAAAAATGAAAAGGATTGTATATCGTATCTATTACTCATTGGTTGCAGATAGTCCTTACAACCACCCCATCCAATACCATAAATATTTGTGTCCATTATTGATTTTTCTTGTAACGCTCTGATAAATAAAATTTTAAAAAATTAATCACTTAGCTCACCCGAGATAAGTCTAGGTTTTTTGGCTCCACTACAATTATGCTATGTGACACATGATTATCACTCGTTACTTTCCCAAGAAATTAATAAACTTCATTGCCACCACTTGATATTTTTATATATATAAAAGAGAATAATGTTTTATTATCAGCCGATTTGATGTTTCGGTTATGCCACTGCCTACATAGTGTTTTTTTTTTTTTTTGGGTCAATTAAATATATGGAGGTTGATCTACCAATTTGCGAAGGAGCCTAGAATGTTTGACTTTTTTTTTCCCTTCATGTTTCTGAGTTAATTGTTCACACGTTATTCTTCCTGTTTAAGCCTGAGAAGTCTTAACAGAGGATCAATTGTCCTACATCCATGGCCAAAGTCAAAAGTCAACCCTGAGACCAGTCAGTCAACCCTCTCCTTCTAGAAAATTAAATCCACTTTGAAACCCAACTCACAAAATTCAAACCCACAACTACACATGCGGCCTACCCACATTATTATTCATATTCTCCACTATAAATAATAATCAACTCTACCTTCATTCTCCATCACTCATTCCCTGCCTTAGAAACCAAAATGGCTCAAATCATTGTACCCAGCAACATATTTCTAACCCTTCTTATTGTAGCTGCAGCTGTAGGTCGGTATGTGGAGGCACAAAATTGTGGGTGTGCTTCAGACTTGTGTTGTAGCAAATATGGGTATTGTGGCACAAGTGATGACTACTGCGGCACCGGGTGCCAAGCAGGGCCGTGCAAGACGGCACCTCTAACCCCGAGCACTAGCGATGTGTCGGTGGCTGACATCGTCACGCCCGAATTCTTCAACAGCATAATTGGCCAGGCCGAGGCAAGCTGTGCCGGCAAGAACTTTTATTCCCGAGCTACCTTTCTTGAGGCTCTCAAGTCTTATGATCAGTTCGGTAAGATTGGCTCCATTGACGACTCTAAGCGTGAGATTGCTGCCTTCTTTGCCCATGTCACCCATGAGACTGGACGTAAGTTCTTTATTCTCTCATCAATTATTTCTTCCACTTTATTCATTTTTTGCATATGTTGGTCCAGAATGTAATTCATTTTATGATTGTTGTAGTAGTGCCCACGGTCAAACACGTAGACACGAGTTTAATTTATTTGTATCAAGTTAACCGACGGTACTATCTCTCCAATAATAGAAGTAGAAAATAGATATTTTCTTTTCTTTTCTTGTTCAACATTTTCAATTTTTTTTATTGGTTTTTTTTAATGGGGGCAACGAGGATGAGGAATTCACAATTTGAATATTATGGGTATGGAGGCGGGAATGGGGGAAAAATTAAAGGGAAATGGAGATAGTAATGGTGTACCCCGGCCTGATTTGCTCCATTAATTGTCACCCTAGTAGAAACTACAAAGTTACATCCCTTGTAGATGAGTCTTATTTTTATTAGAGAGAACACTACGTGACCAATTAAAAACTTAAGATAATACAAATAGGGTTGTTCTATAAATATATATTTGAGCCATTAATATGAGGTTGATTAAATTGTGCTATTTTACATATAACCCAAAAACACAATTAGCAAAGGATCCCAAAAATTGAAGGAAAAATGATGTTTGATTGTGCAGATTTCTGCTACATAGAAGAGATAGACGGACCCTCAAAGGACTACTGTGATGAGAGCAACACACAATATCCATGCAAGCCAAACAAGGGCTACTACGGGCGTGGACCAATCCAACTATCATGGAACTTCAACTACGGCCCAGCCGGAGAGAGCATTGGCTTTGACGGATTAAACTCTCCTGAAACCGTTGCCAATGACCCCATCATCTCCTTCAAGACGGCGTTGTGGTATTGGATGAACAGCGTCCGACCTGTCATCGGAGAAGGTTTCGGCGCAACAATACGAGCCATTAATGGTGCCCTTGAATGTGATGGTGGAAACCCTGCTACTGTTCAGAAACGTGTTAAGTATTTCACTGAATATTGTAACCAACTTGGTATTGCTCCCGGGGACAATCTCACTTGCTAGGAGACATCTCAGTTTACTCGCTGAGCTAGAAACATTCATCTTCTTCGATTGTTGTTATATTGTTTAATAAAAATTATGTATCCGACATATAAAATAAAATAAATACAACGAATTCCATTAAATATGATCAATGTCCTCTTGGTTTAGTACGTAATCTTTTTAATGATAAATGTATCCCCGTAAAACATTAATGAAATATCAGGAGCTTATTCATCCAGAAAAAAAAAAAACATCGCGTGTCGTTAATATCTAATATTTACGGCATATGACAAAACACGCCTTAAAAAGGTGATAAAGCGTGTCGTTAATAATTGATATTTACGACATGTAAAAGCACGCCTTAAAAATGTAATTTATGTGTTTTTTAACGGCATGTTTAGATATACGTCGTAAAGTTTAAATTTTTTTTATCTATTACGGCGTGCAACTAAGTACGCCCTGATTGTTTTTGTTTTTGTTTTTTCGCTTTTTAACGAAACCCCCTAATTATATTTGAAAACCCACTAAAAATATGATATTTTTTTAATTTCCCTCATTTTAGTTTTCCTTCAGACCAGAACATTCTCATCACTTCTCTCTCCCTCTCCCTCTCCCTCTCTCACAATTTTAGGATTCTCTCTCGCTGGACCATTCAAGAGCTCCAGCTCCTTGTTCGCTAGAAGACTATTGCTCCAGCCCTATTTCTTCAAAGTTGAATGCTCAGTGACAGTCCCAAGGTGCGATTCTCTAAAGCCCTAACCCCCAATGCTTGATTATGAGTTTTCTTATAGTTTAGAATCATGTTCCCTACTTCATTCATGTGGTTAGAGGCCTCATTGTCTTTAATTCTTGATTTATACGGCACATTATTTTCGTGTAAATTCAGAAAAATTGATATCGTTAACTATTTTTCTTGATTTATTTAAATATTTAGTGTTCAGCGCTGAATCGGATTTCAATTTTCTTTTCGTATTTTTAAAATTCTGTTTGATTTGCTCTGTTTTTCTTAATAAAAAGAACTCCAGAAATATATGAGTATCTCTTCGTTTAAGTAATTCAGTTAGATTTCTCGGTGAGATCGAACTAGTTTTCCCCGATTCTGTAGACGTAAGTTTTGAGCGAATTTTGCTTCAAAACTGAGGAATCGAATTTCTAATAGTAACGCATGGGTTTTGTGCAATGATTGCTCAGGGAATCAATGCCGGGGATATTAAGAAGTTTGAAGACGCTAGGATCTACACCTGCAATGGCTTGATGATGCATATGAAGAAGGTAAAACGAATTTAAACTCTAATTTCTTATATTGAGCATGTTAAGGTCTGATTCCTTACTCCGATTTCTGTTTGGCAGAACTTTACTGGAATCAAAGGTTTATCTGAGGCTAAAGTTGATAAGATATGCGAAGCTGCTGAAAACCATTTCAGCTAAGAGATTTTATATCTCATATGTGTTCTTTTATTGTAAGCATTTATGTTGCTGAAATGTTCAGAGACAAATTCAACTTGTTATTCATAGTTTGATAGATATTCAACTTGTTGCTGAAATGTTTATCTAATGGCAGAGGAAACACTTCATAGACAAATTCAACTTGTTATTCATAGTTTGAGAGAGGTAAAATCTTGTTGAAATGTTCCAATTCATATAAGAATCAAAAAGTTATGTACTTTATATTAGGAACTTGTAGTTTCATGTTTAACTTCAGCAATTTTTTTGTTTATCTGGCTCTAGATGGCTCTGACGGGTTCCAGAATACCCATCAAATGCAACAATTTCAATATGCATAATTTAGTATAGATCAGGTAACTTTCATGTGGCACATTTTTCTTTCGTATATTATTTGTTGTTATCGTTGTTAAGGGATTTAGTGCCTTTCTCTTTGTAGTGAGTTATGGCTATAAGGCTAAGCATATCTTGGCCAGGTTGTATTCATTCTAGAGTCGCAAAGAAAAAACTTCTTTTGGATGATATGGCAGCAGAGGAAACATTAGAGGTAAAATCTATCAGTCATTTATCTGGTTCTTGTACGTTTGATGCGTTATCTGTCTTTCATGATATAAACTGTTCTAGTGAAATGTGATTGTTTTTGTGTAAAGAATGAAGTGAAGAACGACAGGTTCTGCCTCTGTCCATTTTTGCTGTGTTGATGAAAAGGCATACACATAATTTTCTGGATATACAGGAGACAAATATTTTTCCACCATTTTCCTTAATAATGCGTACTTCAATCATAATATATGTCTTCTAATTACAATGGTTAAGTTGCTAAAATGAGTTTTCAAACAAAATGCAGGTGGCAGATCAAGTGTCAGTTTCATTCTTGTTAGATGATGTCTACTGCCAGTGCTATCATGAGGTTTTTGCATAGGTTACGTTGTAGGTTTGGTAGCACTATTATGAGTGAATGAGTTGGAGGTTGTGTACAAGTTAATTGTAAATTTGGCAGCACTATTATGTGTTTCTTTAATACTTTATAGAGTTTGTATCTGGAATTGATTATGATTAGTATAGTTTTCAATGAAATGGTTATTTCTTTTAAGTTTGGTTGCAATACTACTTTTCGTTTTGTGAAATTTTGTATCCAGGGAAGTAATAGATTATATAAGTATATTGTAAATATGAAACAGGAGCAGGCAGGGAATTAATAATTTTTAAAAAAAAATTAAAGTTAAACACGGCGTGCACTAAATGTTGTAAATGAGAATAAATTACTCTTTTACGGCGCGCAAAGCGTGTCGTAATTGCTTTAACTGAATTACGGCTCACGAGGAACGTCGTCTTAAGTTTTTTTATTACGACGTTCATGCACGCCGTGATTGAGGAATACTATTTACGACGGGGGCTTTTACTGCTTGCATGTTTTGCGTCGTGAATGATAATTTACGACGTACTTTGTGCGCCGTAATAGATGTGTTCTGGTGTAGTGTATCCCCGTAAAATATTAATGAAATATCAGGAGCTTATTCATCCAGAAAAAAAAAACATCGTAGAGGTATTACAAACCCAAAAAAACTAAAAACGACAACATGATTTGAGGGGAGCTAAGCCAAACTTCATCGGTGAAATTGCCAATTATTCGTCAAGTGATCATCTTTTCTTGAAACCATACTTTTTACGTTCATAGAACAGATCGGTTTTGGCACTTCCCAAATTCACAATTTTGGGACACCCGTCTCTGTCTTTTTCCAGCTGAGTACACTCTTTGCAGTAGTAAGCGTCAGAAATTCCAACCCCTCCACACACAACACACCGGCCCTGTAATGATCCATAGTTGCACTCATCGCACACCCGAACAAGCGTGCAAGGGCGCACCAAAGAATCGCAGATTACGCACTTGCCATCACACTTTTCACACAACCTTCCAATGGCTATTCCGGGTTGCTTCCGGCACATAATTAGGTCAGGATTATGCTTGGCCATCTTTCTAGTTATGTCACCGCATTATTACATAGGCCAATATGTCTTTTATATTGGTAAAGTGAAGACTAGTGTGACAAATGAGAAGGGGCTTTTGGGGATTACTTGCTGACCAAGGACAACCATTTTCAAAAGTCACCATTATTTAAGCTGAAAAATGTGAGATACTTATTGGTTTTCTTGCGAGACAAGGGACAAGGACATGGAGTTCATTTTCAGAATTGAATAAAGTAGCACTGTCCATATGCTCATGAGATTAAGTCAAAAAAGGAAGGGGAAAGGTGATGACTAGCCAGTTGGCTTATGGCTTGATATGTCACAGTGGATCCACACAAATTGCTTCTCCATGAGTTTAATTTTTGTCTTATTTAGAACAATAAATATATAAATTAAATATTTTATAAACTAAAATGATGAGTTACTATTGAAAACTATACCTAACTAAATTTAAATCTTTGTAATTGCTAGGTGTGAATGGACTAGGATGTATTAGTTCTTGGTCTATAGGACATGGAGTAATAGAATGGAATTATTCTTAAAATAGAAATAAAAATATTTTATTGGAATAGAAATGGAGGAGTAAACTGTCGTTGGTGATTTAGATATCAAGGATCTGGTGGCTGGGATGAAGATCCTTCCATTAAAGAAGGATTTGGTAGCAGTTAAAAGTGGCTGAATAGACCGTGGTTGGCCGGAAAAACCATCTAGGACTACTAAGCTTTTCAACTTGACTACATGTAAGAATACAGTTTTTATTTGGGTCAATATAAGAATACAATAGGCAATGTTTTGCGACTTTCACTATGTGAAAATTGACTTTTAGCTTCAGATAATATCCGTTGCTAAAGGTACCTAAGAATCGAAATATTGGAAACCGATGCGTATGATATAGTCATAAGCTTCGGATATTATCCGTTGCTAAAGATCATTTATGACTTCTCTATTTACATAATTGCCGATGCGTAAGTTGTTACCATGTGCCAAAAGAGCGTTGACCTCCGATGCACAAACCTTTAATAGCATCAAGGAATATATTATCACTGATGCTAAATACTCATTATAGCATCAAGGGTTTTGATTATACTGAAGCGTGTTCTGACTTACCACTTCAGAAAAAAAAAAGGAGTTTCACTAAAACACCCAAAATGGGGGCTGAAATTATAAAAAAACCCAACACCCAAAACACTTTATAAACACACCCAAAACCCATCATTACACACACTCAAAACCCATTTATAAACACACCCAAAAAATATACAATTGTTGATTTTGGGTGTGTTTCTATGTTTAAATAGTGCGTGGGTTTTTTTTATAAATACATGTCTAGGATTGGGTTTATTTATAATAATCTAAAAAAAAAATGCTACTGCTGTGGCAAATTTTGGTATGCGCCTTCGTTTTTTGTGCTTATGCTGAAGTGGAAAGCCTACAAATAATTTGACTTTCTACAAATATTATTGACCCTTCTGATTATAATATTCGGTTCCCATAGAGTGCTGATGTTTTTAATTTTTAACTTCAATTGTTATGGCAAAACTGAGGTTGTTCTACACAATAGACATAGTTGTTATCAGTAAAGTGTAAGCAATTTTCATGTTTCAAATCACATTTTACTTAGTTTTTGTCTCAAAATATAAAGTCATCACATCAATTCCATATTGTATTGCCATTGCAGCATCAAAAAAACATACATATATAGGTTCCCTTATGAGTTTTCCTGCCATTAAACCGAAATCCATCCACAATCCCAAATGTAGAGCCCCAATTGATATATATATCTAACTTTTTCCAGCCCAACAAATCATCCATACATATATAAGCAAAATACTACCAAAAAAACAAGGAGAACATTCAAACTCAAATCCACTCTAGCACATGACATGCCTATTCATCTCAAACATCATCCAATTGCGTTTGGGTGTAAAATTCCTTCTTTTTCACACTTCTCGCATACTGAAATTAAACGAAAAGAGCATTTAAGATAAAGAAAAACTGTATAAATTATTTTCACCAGGAATCTATCAAGTCGAGCTGAACAGTACAGAAAAGCTTAGTAGAGCTTAGACTTTTACAAGTCGCAATTAGTAAGCATTGGCACATGCTTACTTAGTTAATCCCACATTCCGAGCATAAATTCTATGGCTACTTGTAATAATTTAGTCAGAGAGATTGAAACCAAATTGTTAAAACTCAGCTATCATTTTTTCTGTCTCTCTTTGTTAGCACAGACAAAAAAATTCATAGAAAGAAGAGGAAAGCATAAAATAACTTAAAATTGATGATTAGAGAGCCTAATAGCCAAACCGAAAATTAAACCACATCAACTAGTCAAAAACAAATCTGGAATCCTTGTCTGTAAGTGCATCTAAATATAAATCAAACTGAAGATTGAAACCTAAACTCAAATAGAAACTGATGAATAAATAGTCCAAAAGTAATATGAAATATGCTCACCTTATCTGCATATGCTCTCCAAATAGAAAATTGTAAAACCAAAAATCTGCAAAAATCACAGCCCGAGATTGAAACTTCAAACTCCAATATGAATCAGAAAACTCAAACCTTTAATAATAGAGAAGTACATGACTAATATCCATGTGTCTAAATCAGAACTTGTGTGGTATAATTAAAGTAGTATGTATGTCAAGTACATAACAATCAGATATCCTCTGCGAAGGACCTGTTTCGGAGCCGTTACATCTATGCTCTAACAACTTAGAAACAGATCCCAGATCCTTCGATGCATCTAAGTCATTTATATTCCAATGGCTCGAAAACTTAGCTCTATCTGAGGACCTTATTCGAGAATAACCGAAAGGCTTACACCTCGACTCAACGACATGCCTTGGACAACAATGCTCCACACTACACCTAATAAAGCTCAGAAATCGAGTCAATCAGAATCTTCTTCAACAAATGACCTTTGAACTCATTAGTAAGAGAGAAAAAAAATGTTTTTAGTCATTCTGAAATTTCTTAGAAATTTTTATTGGTAGCTTGTCACACTTCACGAGAGCATACATCCAGACTATAAAAAAAAATCCATGTCACAGGGGCTGTCCACATTTACGGGCCATGTGCTCCTTTACAATTAAGGCAACAGATTAACACTACACGTCGCCTGCTCAGAGACTAAAACAAATTAACCAGATTAACAGAGAATTAAAATCTCAATTAGAAAAGACTGCTCCTTCAAAGATATGATTGGCAGCTCAAGGAATATTTTACTGTTGCACAAGAATGAAAACCACAAAATGATATCTATGTTTAACTATTACAGGAATGAAAACAGAAAAAAGGGATATCTAGCTTAATCCCACACATGAATAACCTTTTAATGCCATACGGAAGACACATTTAGAAACCCAAGCCTCCTTAACCACCCGAATAAGGTTTTAACACCAACACCTGACCACACCTCAACACATTGTTGATTTCATAATACAATAATTCGAGAAAATGGAAGACATCCTGTGTTGTAGAAAAATGGAGGAAATAGTACTGTAGCCTATACCTCTGCGAAGTTCTTTTGGTCTGAGATCAGTCGCTTAGTGGACAATTCCTTCAAAGTTCGAAAGAGAGTCAAAAAAATCCTGTGGGAAGAAAGAACATCTGTTGATTGAAGCTTCTGTGCTAAAACAGAAAAGAGCTCTGGCCTGAACATGTCATTAGGTTGATAGATCAGTACAAGTTTTACACTTGATATAGGAACATTCAAAATATGTCAGGAGACTGTGGTTTGAAACCCAACATTCAACAATCAACATATCATTTGCACATGCACAAACTCAGCAAAGGAGAAAAAAAAGGCATACGGAGTTTGCAAGTCTTGATAAGAACAAATCAAACTAAACAAGCTATGCTCACTTCTAAAGTATTTCATAATCCAGCCATCTGCTTATCCTACAATTACTAAGCCATTGTCTGCAATGTCAACACGAGCTTCTTAAACTATATGACAAATTCATATATTTCCTCATTCAGTTCTCTCTAGGGTAATTTTTCTTTCAAACTATAGACAAAATATGGGATTCACGTCCAGTCTGACTTTCTGCAGCATCATACACCTTAGAATGTAGATCTTTATATCGTTCTCTTTTTTAAAAAACAGAAAATTCATGCAAGGCTAATTCATGTAATTTGTGTCCCTGATCTTCTTTCTTTCCCCTAGTTGCGCGTTTCTTCTAAGCAGTTGATGAAAGAAATAAAACCCTATAACATCCCATTATCAAGTTCTTATAGCACCATAAAGCTCAACCAGATTATAACTTTAAAAATAGAATCCTTAACGGGTCAAAACAAAACAAGGTGATTTCGAAACATAGTCATCGAGGACAAAGGTTTATTCCCACTTCTGATAAGGACTCTGCTTGTAGTTAACCAATTATGAATCCAGATAAAGAAAATTGCAAAGTAAGGATGTATGGTAAGGTACTATTAGCATACCTTCTAAAGACAAAAGGTGCTATCAGCGAACTGCCATTACTTATATCTGCCTCCCATGAATCAGATAAACACTAAAAACTTTTATCTGGGATTATGGAGGCACAAACATCCCCAGACATAACCCCATGCACTCAGGGACTTTGAATCTTTCCTTCAGATATCACTATTGCAAAATACAAGAACAAAGCTTCTCATTGAGCATACTAAAGCTCAAACAGTTCATATATGCAAAAACCAGTTGCCATATAACAGGCATATCAATGTAACCTCTTACATTATATCATCAACAATACCTTGGCATAATAATCTTTCCAAACTCTGCGAACAATCTGATGGCCACCCAAATCAAAAGCCTTGAACTTGATTTTCCCAATGCTTAACTCTTCTGATGTCGGATACTGCGTCGGCTGGGGTTGAACTAATCTCTGCAATAATCCATCACCACCAAGACCCAGAATCAGAAAATCAAATTCCATCTTAATCCATCACCAACAGGTCTTTCAACTTCAGTTTTTTCCCCAATTTCCTGTGAAAACAAAACCAAAGAATCATCAGTTTTCAGAACCCAGATAGATACCACAACTATCATAAATGATGCAAAAACCAGTTGCCATATAACAGGTATATCAATGTAACCTCTTACATTATATCATCAACAATACCTTGGCATAATAATCTTTCCAAACTCTGCGAGCAATCTGATGGCCACCCAAATCAAAAGCCTTGAACTTGATTTTCCCAATGCTTAACTCTTCTGATGTCGGATACTGCGTCGGCTGGTGTTGAACTAATCTTTGCAATAATCCATCACCACCAAGACCCAGAATCAGAAAATCAAATTCCATCATAATCCATTACCAACAGGTCTTTCAACTTCAGTTTTTTCCCCAATTTCCTGTGAAAACAAAACCAAAGAACCATCAATTTTCAGAACCCAGATAGATACCACAACTATCATAAATGATTAATCACATTAATAATCAGTCATTTTTAAATTATAATTAATAAAAAATAAAAATAAAAATAAACGAAAAGAAGAGAGGGGAGAAGAATTGAGAAACAACACCTGACTGCCATTGGGCGAGATCTGGGAGGAGAAAATCTGTTGAACTAAGGAGAAGGAGATGACGAGTTTCAGATTAATACAAAATGAAATTTTTTGAAAACTGAAACCCTAACCTTGCTATTGCAGAATCTGAGAGAGAGTTGTCAGAAAGAGAGAGAGAGCCATGATACCAAGAGTTGTGAGAGGAGGGATTAGAGATGGAGCTAGCAGTGAAGATAGAAAAGATCAAAACAAGAGGAGATGTGGAAGAAGAGGGACTGAGAACATACCAGATGGAGGAGACAGGAGAGAGAGAAGATAGAGTTTGGAGTTCGATTGCAATTGAGGGCGTGTAGAGTAAAATTTTCGTAAGGGAGATTGAAATTTTTGGGGGAAAGTCGGGAATTTTTTGAGGGAGAATGAAATTTGTGACAGGGAGCAGTGTGGGTATCGCAAAAAAATACCGTAGGGAATCTAAAATATTTGCGAGGGAGTGAAAATTTTTTGCCAAAAAAATCACTGTATCAGTTAACCATGGTTTTGGCATCTGTGCTAAAATATTCTACTTAAAATAAATTTCTTGAAAATCATTTTACACATCAGTATAATATTCACCCGGATTTCTGGAGTCTCACCACCATACTTCAAGATCCCAAATGTCGATTGGACTGCCCACTTGCGCCAATCAGACTCAACTATGCGTAAATTCAGCCTCAATTACTCATCCAGGGACTCTTCCTATAAATACAAGACTCGAGCTACATTCAAAGGGTTCAACACCAAAACAAAGCCTCCCACGGAGCAA